GAATTCCCCAGCCAGCCATGCTGGCTGGGGAATTCTGGGAGTTGAAGTCCACACATCTTAAAGTTGCCAAGGTTGAGAAACACTGCTCTGGACTGTATGCATTGCACACCAGTCATATCCACCTGGATTTTCAGAAAATAACAAATTTGTGGATAAGGGAATTGAAAAGGAGTATATTAATACCTTCCCTGTTGAGTTGTTGATGGTTGTTGATGCTTGCTCCACAAAGTTTTTCTATGAAGTCCCCAGAGATGGGGGGCAGAGAGAAACGCTAATAAAAAACAGAACAGGGGCAAAAAGAGCCAAGAAAATGACATCACACAATATTCCTTCCAATAACTTTTGTCAAGGGAGGGAATTTTCTGAGCATATTGTGGGCGCTCACACCATATGGCTACCTTGGCAGCCATGGCCAACGGTAGAACCTCCATTGATGAAGCCACAAGCTACTCAAATTGCTATACAATACCTCTCCTGACTCACCCGCCATCCCACAGCCCATCTTTGGGTTTTCTTGGTGGTTTGTCCACTTCTAAATAAAATCCTGGTCTGTAGCCACTCACGATTTTTATTTTCTAAGAAGGCTAACTGGATACTCTGCAGCATACCAGCCTCACACTTAACTTTGTGTGCATGTGTGTGTGCGTGTGTATGCATACTATAATTATATTAAACGTATATAATACATTTCATATTATACACACACACATGCAAATATGCATGAATCAAGCTTTACAGATTTGTAAAACTAAGTAATGGAGAAAAACTGAACTCAACAGATTCACCCATCCCTAGTGGGAGCAACCATTTATTGGGGTGGCAGCCTTGCAGGTTTCAACGGAGGGATCTGCCCCTCGCTCGTACACACGAAGGGACATGAGAAACATCTGTTGTACATATTGAACAGTGTCCTGAGCTGGAAGATCCCACGGCATCAGGGACAGATCCAAGATTTTAACGATGTGGCTGGATCCCCACATTGGGCTTGTTTTAGCTATGAAAAGCAGGTTAGACGTTTACATACAAATAAATCTAACCAACAATGATATGGCCTTGAAATTAAAAAAAAAAAAAGGCATTTGTCTGAGAGTATTTCCAGGGAAGAGAAGTGGATTCTTCGATCATCTCATAAATCCAAATTTAAGGCTCAGAAGCATAGAGTATAATTAAATTCCAGAAGGGCCCCAAATATTTTCTTGCTAAATGTTTTGAGGAATTATTTTTCCTCGTTTTAACAATCCAGTGATTGATGCAGCTGTCCCCTTTTTGATGGTTTTAGTTCCTCATCAGTGAAGTTCTCGAACACTTGGCAAACACAATTTATTACAACGATCCAGCTTTGATGATATTTAGTAGTTGTCAATGTGTGGGTGAGAGAAAGAAGGAGATGGGGGAACAGGCTTCTTATGAAACAATAAGCCCAGAATTCATTTGCAAAAGCCTCAGCTAGTGGTAAAAACACAAATGGCCTTTTTCCTAACCTTCGCCAACCCTGGATTGTTCTTTTAAAAATGGGGAAAGGTGCGGGAGATACAGATAACACTTTCGGGGGAAAATTCCCAAGAAAAACAAGTCTCTTTTGTGTCAACCCAGCCGTCGTATTAATGACTTTGACTTCCAGAGGAAAAAAAAAAAGAAAAGAAAAGAAAGCAAGTTCATTCTTAAGAGAATTGGAGGCTGGCTTGTTCCTGGAAAGTCTTGAACTTGCTCTAAATTAGAGACATATGTTTCCTCGCCGCTCAAAAGCCATTCCCCCCCTTGGCCAGCTTTCTTGGTTCAAAGTATCCTGTTAAGCAGAGGCTTGCAAGGCTAAGGAAGAAAAAGAAAAGAAAAGAAAAGCCAGTCCCGGTATTGGGAAAAGTTGTAGTTATTGTTGAAAGAAGCAGTGATTTCAGGAGAAAGATTTTTTTCAGTAAAGCATGGCAAACCACAAGTGGACTCAAGTTCTCCATGCTAAGTTCTTGGACAAAGAGCGTGGGCCTGCAAAATTGGGGATGGATTGAGCTAAATGCAGCTGTTGTGGGCCAAAGAAAACCTTGAGCTGCAGCAAGGAGATGAACATAAGGAAGAAGCGGTGAAGCACCTGGTTGACTTGACCAAGACAAGACTTCTCAGGCTGTCTTTGGTTGGCAAGGCCCCAAAGTGAAACACCTTCTGCTCTCCACAATAACATAAAAATAACTTTGTACCACACTTTAAAAAAAATCAGCTTTGCAAAGAAACATCACAAGCAGGACCACGACCACGTTCATGCCTGAGGAATATTGGCTCAAGAAACTACAAGGAGAGGATGCCAAGAGTTGATGGCTTCTAGTCTGCCTGGTCCCCCTCTGGCAAGCAGATAAATCAAGAAGTGAATGTGGTATGACATTCACACCTGAAACTACAGCGAATTATCCTTCGATAAACCAAGCTCCAAAACCAATTTAACACTCAACTTTATTTGACTGCACTTAATTGCCCTCCTAGATTCAGAAGTCACATTTTCTTCTCCAGCTGTGACTCATTGGTTGTGACCCTTGATTTGTTTGCCTGTTTTACTCTCCTGTTTTGTTCTAGTGTGGTTTAGTAAGTCACAATTCCTGGCTAATTGTTCTATGAGGTCTGCCATTTTGCTATATAATACATAATTTCCTAGAGCAGCCATCCCACCAGATGGGTAGGCTTCAATGACTTACGTGTCTGAATGTCTTTCGGAGATGTTTGAACTGCAAGTAGTAGCGGTAGAAATGGAGCTGATCCACGTGGTGCAAAATCACCACCATGACACCAGCCAAACGCCTTTGGTGGTGGATACGACACCAACTGTACCACAAAAGATCAAGATTATCTCATGTTCCTTTAGCCAGGCAAGCACATGCAAATCTATTTCTCAGTTATTATTTCTAAACATTTGGGAACCAGAAATTCTGGCTCTCCTGTGAATCATCTAGTGAGTGGTGTGGTAGGTGTTGATCTCATAGAGCAGTGTTTCTCGACCTTGGCAACTTGAAGATGTGTGGACTTCAACTCCCAGAATGCCCCAGGTGTAGGCTGGGAGTTGAAGTCCACACATCTTCAAGTTGCTAAGGTTGAGAAACACTGTCATAGAGTCATAGAATGTATAAGTTGGAAGGGACTTCATTGGTCATCTAGTCCAGTGTTTCTCAACCTTGGCAACTTTCAGGTATGTGGACTTCAACTCCTAGAATTCTGGGAGTTGAAGTCCACACATCTGAAAGTTGCCAAGGTCGAGGAACACTGATCTAGTCCAACTCCCAGCTCAGTGTAGGAATTCCATAATCTGTTCTCAAGAGACGGCCATCCAGTTTCCATTTAAAAACTTCCAATGAGGGGGAGTCCACTGTTCTTGGCACACTATCCCACCATTTCACAGTCAGGAAGGTCCTCTATGTTCAATCTTGACCTGAACCAATTTCACCCATTGGTACTGTACTTGTACTGCCTTGATTTTCAACTGAGAACAGGTCCATTCTGTCATGACAGATATTGCCAATCTCAGTCTTCTCTTTTGCAAGCTAAGCACGCCCAGATCCTTGAACCCTCTCTCATAGGGCTTGGTTTCCAGACCCCTGATTATCCTGGGAGCTATGTCTGCTCACTTCCCATTTAAACTAAGGTCAGCTAGTGAGCTTAGTGGTTATGTGCAGATTTGGATCTGAACCCTTCCTGCTCTAAGACTCAGTTCACATTCTTCATTAAGCCCAACTGGAATTCCTAGTCTTCAAAAACTTGCTATAGTTGTAATATTTTACGTAACAAAAGGGGGGAAATGACTAAATACATCATTGGAAAAAAATAATCATAGATGCATTCAATATCAAATTAGTAAAGGAAATCAGAGCTACGTTGAACCTAGCTTCATCTACTATTTTTTTTGGAATCCAATCCTCAACCAACAACTTAAGGTAAAACCCCATAAGATGCCCATCCTTCCGTTAAGCCATAGTGGGGCTTATCTGGTTTAGTTTAGTGTGCTGAATTAACCTAAGCTATGTAAACCATGATGGGTGGCTTAGTGCAATGTATGAATCCAGCTTAGAGTAGCTGATTCAAGAAATCATGGTTAAATTATACATGGTTTAGTATAATATGCAAATCCAATCCCCATCACTACTCTAATGACTATACCGCACTGGTGCTATCAAAATGTGAAACCATCTGTTAGAACTTCAGAATTAGGCAAATGATTCAGTACGGTTGAACATCTAGGTTGGGTGGATGCCTTGCATAAGGTTAAGAGCACATCTACCTGGGCTGAGTGGCAGTGTGATGTTTTCCCAGCGTGGCATACTTGAGGAGTTCATACAGTTGCTCATAGCTGATTTGGCCTTCTCCAAACATTCGAGTGGACAAACGGGGTTTCTTCACCTTGGAAACCAAGAGAAGTGACTCAGGAGTGTTTACACTCACAAAGAAAGCTTCAGGATTCAAGGCACCATTCCCACAAATAACATCCAGAAAGGACAATTCATTTCTTACAAAAGGATGCCACAAAACCAGATCAGATGCAAAGGAGAAACACAGTTAATAGGCAGAACTGTTAGTTACGTGTAACTTCACAAAACTTGGAAGTTATTGACAGAAACACAATCAGTGCCAAATGATTCCAGTCCCAGAAGAGATTGACAAAAAAGGTCCTCCCACACTGACAAATCCAGCTGTGAACAAAACCGAAGCAGCTTCTAAACGTTTCTGGAGCTTTGTAAGCATTATTTGTCTTTTGTATTCCATGTCTGATATCAGGAAGATCAGAGCCTTGGTTGCAGCATTCAAATTAGAGGAACCTTCTGACTAATTTTGGCTACCGCACTTGGAAAAAAATTATAATGCAAAGCTGAAAAGGGTGCAAGAACAGCCAACTGGAATAATACATCATTGTGCAACTAATTATAACTTCAGTGATTCATAGATGTAAACAAAAATGAAGTACAGCATTAAAAATATAACACAGATTGAAACCCCTTACAGCAAACCTCTCTGAAAGAAAAACAACACAAAACCTTTTCAAAAAAACCAAAACCAAACCAGAAAAATAGCTGGAAAATTCCACCCAATATTTAAATTAGTAAAAGACTTTTTTTATTAATACAGGGGCCAGTAAACTAAAACATGCAATAATGGCAAATCATTTGGAATAATATAACCATAAACAAACCTTACTTTACTAGATATTTTAATTTCCTGATGATTTGGGCAAATGTCATTTTCCTCAATCTTCCTTTTTTTTTTAGCCTTCTTGGTTTCTCTTCCAGTTTCCCTATCTTTATAACACCTTTTCTTTATAACTCCATACGTTTGTGCACCCATTTTATTTATAAATATCTCTATAGGTGGAATTAACCTATAAAACAAGAATAGCAACACGGTAAAGAATTCTTTAAAAACCTATTTAATAAATTAACAGAGAAACAAATGCAGAGCAAGACAGCTAGCAATGTTGCAACCCCCGTAATTGGAGCAATACGACTAAATTGGGGCTCTACTTCATTTTGCTTAGAGTAGGAATTAAGGAAATGCAAAAATGGGTGGCTTAATCCCCTTGACAGTCATGTTCCAAGAGTAAAAAATCAGGATTCTGGTAGCACCTTTTCTAACATGTTTTATTCAAAGGCATCAGCTTTTAATAAGCTTCATCAGCCGTTCTTCATCTGATGAAGGGAGCTGCAGCTCATGAAAGCTGATCACTTTGAATAAAATGAATTCTGTATTATTTTTTTTTTGCCTCTGTAGACTAATCAGGCTCTTCTCCTTCAACTTCTAAGAATAAGTAATTCTAGAACCAGCTTAACAATAATTCTAATAAGACATCAAGTCTCCTGGACAAAATGAAGTGTATCTGCATTTAATTTAATAATAATAGCAAGCCCTGGTGATTTTAAGTATTCTACCTTAATTTAATCCAGTTTAATCAGAACAGCAATGAGAATAGCAATAGCTTTATTATGCACTTAAAACTATTTTACAGACATGGATTAAAAGAGTGTAGTTGAAGTCTGGCTGGAGAATTGTGGGAGTTGAAGTCCACACATCAGTTGAAGTCTGGCTGGAGAATTGTGGGAGTTGAAGTCCACACATCCAGACATGGATTAAGAGTGTTTTCCAAACTTGGCCACTATAAGATGTGTGGACTTCAACTCCCACAATTCTCCAGCCAGACTTCAACTCCCAGAATTCCCCAGCCTGGATTAAAACAACAACTGGTATAATGCAATTAATTATACCATCATAATGTAAAGTAAAGAGCAGCTGTCGGCACCGTCTTTCCACCCAGCCTCGCCTGGCGGGGCAGCAACTCCCATAATCCCCGGCTGGGCGGAGACCAGCAAGTTCCCCTTGATTTTAAATTTGGCTGGGGGTTATGGGGATAGTAGTCCAGCAAGTTTAAAGGCATCAGGTTTAAAGCTGGAGCAGGCAGCCCTAAACTGGCGCGCACGCGGGTTCTTTGGTTCCATCTGTGAAATTCTTTAGGGGTTGCAACCACGTGTGAGCAGGCAAACACGTGCAAGGAAACCCTCCTCAACAGTTCATCTGTGGACGCCTTTCGTTGCTAACGCCCCCTCCCCATAGGGTAAAAAAGGAACCCCCAAAGAAAAAAATGAAGATGATGGGAAACCTCACCTGCTGATGGAGAAGCCCCTGCATCGAGGAGAATCTCTGCTCGGTCATCGCCTCCCCGGGCCTGAGCCACCCCGCCCGCAGTCGAGCCTCAGAGGAGGAGCCCTGAGGTAGACAGCAGATTAAAGGCGGCAGACCTTCTTAGCCGAGCGGCCGAAAACGTCGAGGAGAGGCGGGGCTGCGCCGCGGCGGGCTGTTTGAAATGGCGGCCGCCGACTAGAGCGGGAGGGTTGGGATTAGAACGCCGCGGGGGGCGCGCGGCGGAGGTTGCCATGGCGACGAAGCAGCTGGCCAGGTAAGGCCTTCCGGGCCTCTCCGCGCGGGGCCCGGGTTGCTTCGGCCCCTCGCTGGGCTGGGGCTGCAAGCGGGCCCGATCCCGGATTGACCGAGCCGTAGTGCAAGCCCGGCCCGTGACGTGTCTTGGTGGGTGAGCGTGGTGTCCCAACCTCGAAAACTGGGTCACGGAAACCAAGATTCGGCTAACCAGGGTTAGCTGCAACGTGTGAATGCAGCGAGGGTGGGGTGGAAGAGCTGGAATGGAGTGGTTGGTATTCTGGAACAGAACTGCTTCTCCCCCCCCACCTTTCATTTTCAGACTTCATGTAAGTCCGAAGCTGACATCGTCGTTATTATTATGGGATGTATCCTGGCTCCATTTGACGACCATGGATCATTCCCACCGGAGTGATTCACAATGGGCAATTTGTTACAACAACAAAAACAACAATAATATTTATATGCTGCCTGACTCTCAGCAACTCTGAACTAAGCCACCCAGAGTCGTTCAGAATCGGGTGACATACAAGTTTAATAATAATAAAGATAAATAATAAATACCTCATCTTCTAGGTTCACCCAGCTCAATGAACCCTGAGCCTAACTAAACGTAGCCTGTTGTGCAAGCTCTGACGTCTTACCGTGTCAGCCAGCAGTTGCTGAGGCTTTATATCAGAATGGTTATAGGTTTTAGATCATGACAACAGTGGCTGAAGGATGCTATAAGTCACTAGTATGGCAATGGCCACCTACAAGCTGCTTGCATGGCAAAACTATTTTTTTTAACAAAACAATAAAAATATGTAAAACAATATACAAAGGTATATTAATTTTTATTTTTTATATTATGTAGCTAAAGTGCAAAAGAATTATTATTAGCCTTAGTTATTCTGCTTGCTTCACGTATTTGAGATCATAGATGTGCCTCTAAAAATCCAGTTTGCTTTGACATTTTATCTATCACCCAGTGCACATGTTCACCCAACCCCTCAAGTTCTTATTTTGAAGTAGAATATATAAAACCCATTTAAAACATAGGGATAATATACATTTGTAGTTAAGCAGAAAGAGTGAGATAGGAAAAGGGTGAATGAGTTAATTGAAATCAGTGTTTCTTATTTATTATGCTAAATGGCACAGTTGCAACTGTGATCATTGCACTAATGCAGTGATTCCCAACTCCCAGAATTCCCTAGCCAGCATAGCTATTGCTGAGAATTCTGGGAGTTACCCAGGTCGGGAAATACCAACACTAATGGCATTGAATGACATCCTAATGTGGCCTTTGCTTTGATGTTGTAAAATTTGTATAATGGATTTTGTATGTTTGTTTGATAGACAGCTAGGCATTATTCGAAGTGTTTCTAAACCCTCTCCCAGTGGCCGAAGTTACAATCAACCCAAGCTGCGTGAGTATTCCACTTTTTTCACAAAGCAAATGTTGTTATTTGCAGGTTGTGGCAACGAGATAGTATCATATGATTTTTTGGGGTGTTGCAGGGCAGCTGTTTGACTACTTAATAATTATTGACTTTGAGTCTACCTGCTGGAAGGATGTCCGAAAATATCAAGAAATAAGTAAGTCAAGCCTTAATTGTTTTAATAGTTGCTGCCATATGAATTGGAAAAAAACAAAGAGAAGGCTTGAACATAGTTCATGCAAATAGAGTTAGCCTGTTGGAGTTTATTCCGTAGCTGGAGGAGGCTGCAGTTAGCAATAGCTGCTGTGTGGTGTTTCTGATTCAACTCCAAAAAGTGCTCTGGAATGCACAGAAGCGCAAATGTAGCATCCATCTGAAATATCTTCAAGCGGCTGTAAAATCTTTGGGAGGGTACTGTTGAAGACTTGCTGACATGTTTGGCTCGGTTTTGAATCAAGGTACAACCACAATAACTTGCATTTTTATTCCTCTTCCTTAAAAGACAATTCAGTGTGCCTTACATGGTTCTTTTCACCTTCGCTGTCTCAATGGTAGCTCTGTGATGTAAGCTAAGATTAAATGGAGACTGTATTATTAGCCTGAGGTGAATCAGTGAACTTCATGGCTTACTAGGGATTTACATATTAGTGATACTAGTATGATCTTTCTCTCTCTCTCTCTCTCTCTCTCCCCCTCCCTCCCCCTCTCTTTCCCCCCCCCTCTCTTTTTGGCACAGTTGAATTTCCAGCAGTTCTCTTAAACACCTCAAATGGAGAAATTGAGACAGAATTTCATATGTACATCCAGCCCCAGGAGCATCCAACTCTCTCTGAATTTTGTATTGAGCTAACTGGAATAAAACAGGTACTTTTCAATAAATATAGATGGATGGATG